CCCCACACACACACACACACACACACCCACACACACACACACACGTGAGTGATACGGTGCAGAGAGGACAGCTTTTAACCCAAACACAACAAAGATGAACTTTGAAAGAGTGAAAAATACCAATATATCTTACTTCTGATTCTGTCCTCAGAAAAATAAAGATTACTTAATGTCATTTCATGTCGTATTTTGTGACATTAATAACAGTTATGAAAGGATAATAATTATTATTATTATTAATCTAACCAGTTACAGTTAAAATGATAACAGCACAGGCCAGGAAATCTGAAGCAGGAAGGTTATTGTTATTTTCTCACTGAGTCTCATAAATTTGCTGAAGTTTTCTTTCTCTGTTTCTGTAAAACAAACGGAGTTGGATCTTTATGTTGTTTTGAGCTTCCACAGCATGTTCCGTTTGTTTCCTCTCTTTAAACATGGGTGTGTTTTGTTTAGAGAGCCAGCTTATTTTTTTTTGCTTTCTCTGCTTCCCCTCCTTTTCTAAACACGATTAAATGATTGGGTGTTGTTCTGTGGGAGCTAACACCCTCAGAGGTTCCACCCTCGTRTCTGAGCTGTTTATAGAGCTCTCCTCCAACCGTGTGTCTCTGCACAGAAACGGGACCCGTGGACCCGGTCCTCGTCGAGCAGTACAATACGCCGGGCTTCGTCGGGTGTCTGTCGCGGGTGCAGTTCAACGGAGTGGCCCCCCTCAAGTCTGCGCTGAGGAAAGCGGCGCAGGCGCCGTCCACGTCGACAGGCGGTCAGGCGGACAGACAGCCCGTGGCGGCCTCGCCCGTGTCTTATCAGGGCAAACTGGTGGAGTCCAACTGTGGGGCGTCGCCTCTCACCATCCCACCCATGTCTGCTGCAACAGATCCCGGGCATCTGGACAACACAGGTGGGGGCTCGTCTTTAGCTGGTAAAGCTGTTTTTTACACAACTTTTTAAGTGTGTTTGCTGTTCTGTCTGCGGCCAGATGCAAAGATCCCCTTCAACGAGGAGAGAGTCATTCCTGATGGAGTCAACAGAGACTCGGCCATCATCGGAGGTATGATGAACCACATCTGGGCTCATGACGCTGCACGTTTACCTCAGAATGAGMTGTGGGAATAAATCACACCTCTGACACCATGTTTAATATTTATGATATCCAGAGGTGTATATTAATGAAGTATATTTACTTATTTATAGCACTAAACTATGGTTATTTGGATAATCTGTAATTTTACCAAGCATACATGTCTCCGCCCACTGGGACAGCTCCGTGTGTCAGAGCGGTGACTTGTGTGCACGATACCCCCTGAATAAAGTGATATATTTACTTATAAATAATCATAGTAACTCCATCCGGGTAGTACTCATTCTGATTAGATTTGGGCATCAAAGGGTCAAAGGTCATTTATGATGATTAGTGATATAAAACTGGCATTATTTTTAAAGGCAGACATGTAGAGAAGGCGGAGGCGTACAAATCRACGTCGAATTCCACCTTGTTTTTTAAATCTTTTTCTTTTATTTCATTACGTTCAAAGAATAAAAATTATACTTGTTTACTTTAAAATTTAACATCTTGTTACACGCAGAAAATTAAAATATGACTAGAACTCATCACAAAATGAGTCACTCTGAAAAATAAAGTATTGAATTTACTTAACTAAGTTATATCAACTGGTTCCACTATGAGTAAATATAAAGCAGTTTACTCAGCTCAGCTCAGTGGAACCAGTTGACTTAACTTGATTAAGTAAATTCAACACTTTGTTTTTCTTTTACATTCCTCTTTATTGTGAGCAGTTTGGTGACTTTTATCCCTGTAAATACATTTCTTATCAGTGAAAATCATATTTCCCAAAGTGATTTTCTCTTAAGGTGTTTTTTTCTATTTTTAATGTTTTTCAAGTACTTTATACACCTCCATTGTGTTTGGGTTTGTGCCACGGGATACATATACTGTATGTGAGCCATCACATTTAACCAAGGATTAAGTCCCAAAGTGGTTTGTGGAGAAATGGCATTGTTTATAACATTTGCAGCAATTGCATTTTGTCAAATATATCTTGAATAAATGCCTTATTTATGAGTTGTTTAAAATAAATATCTGAAATATAATATTTTATTGCTATTAAACCTTAATTTAACCAGGTTGATATAACTGAAATTAAAAATCTCTTTTTCAAGACAGACCCGTCCGAGAGCGGCAGCAGCACACAAACATTACCAAATTCAAAACTGCAGATGTTCACAGCAAAAATGCCAGTGTTAATTTAACACCCACAGTGTTAATTTCAACACCAACAAAGTGTCTATATGTGTCCACACTCACTGGTGGTAAATAACTTTTTTAACACCCATTTTTTTTGCTAATTTAACACCAACCAGTGTTTAATATTCAATAATACTGGGTGTGACATTAACATTTCAACAGTGTTTAAATATAGTGTTAAAAGTAACACCAGTGTATTATTATTAACAAAGGAAATGATGGTGTTAAAAAGATTAACAGACACCACAAGGTGTCAATACACCATAAATTTAAGAGTGTAAATTTAACACTCAGAGTTAAAATCAAACTCTTTATAGTGTTGCATTAACACTACTCAGTTGTTAACAGAAAAGTATAATGGAGTCACCCTTCACACACCAGGAAGTACCTCTCACTCATGGTGTCGATTTATGGCMAWTAACACAAACTTATATWTGAACAACTATAAAACTGATCAGTAAAACTAACCAGAACAACTAATTTTTTACTCTTATGAACTTCTTTAATAGTCATAAATACAAACACTTTATTTCTACAAGATTACCCAGCATCCCTTGCTGAGAAAATACTGGTCTGTCTGACATGAGGTGGAAGAGGGCGGGGCTTTTCAGAATACTTCTTTCAACTATGCATGGTTTCATATAACAACACTGTTGTGTTATACAAGACTTAACAGTGGGCGGAGCTTATTTAACACTGTCCAGTGTTGAGACAACACTGAGGAAATTAACACTGAATTAACACAGCCTCCTCCATTTAAACAATTTTAAAGTTCAGTCATTAGAGCAGTTGGATATTTCAGTTTGATTTTGGATTATATTTGTGTAAATTAATGATTAACTAAGACCTGAAGTAACGATGTCACCCGTGTGTCCTGCAGGTATTATCGCCGTGGTGATCTTCACCATCCTTTGCACCCTGGTGTTCCTGATCCGCTACATGTTCCGCCACAAAGGCACCTACCACACCAACGAGGCCAAGGGCAGCGGCGAGTCCGCCACCGAGTCCGCGGACACGGCCATCATCGGCACCGACAACCCGGAAACCATCGACGAGTCGAAGAAGGAGTGGTTCATCTAACCGCGGGGGGGCGGGACTCAGAGAGACAGGAAGCGGTTTGTGAGACCATCACTCGTCCCCGGGTGGAGGAGGGTTAATCAAACCACCGATCACTGGAGATTCCGAGGGTTGCCTGTTTGGCAGGACGACAAACTCCCAGAGAAGGTGGGATGTGGGAAGGCTTTTTGTTTTGTTTTTTGTTATTTGTTTTTCTATCCAGAGTGTCGCGGAGAAACAAAGGAGAGAGACGCTTATCCAGTGGAGCACAGCTGTAAAGAACTTTCCGTGTACATACTAACCAGCTTATCCTTCTTTGTATCGTGCTCGGGAGTTCCCAGGAGTTTTTTGAATACTGTGTATGACGAATAATTACACTTACTGAATGGTGTGATAGCAAAGATCTATTCCTCGTTTTGAGTTTCTTGATTTTATATTTAACAAAAGTCTAATATCAGAAATGATGGAAATCAATATGCCAAACCCTTTTATTTTGTATTCTCTGATTCTTTCAAAATGTGGTTGCACCAGTCTGTCAACACTCATGTCCGTCAAACGACACACATCGTATATCGTGGTAACATAGAGGTAAATATGAATGCCAATTTTTTTTTTTTTTTTTTTTTTTTTGTAAATACAATATTTTATGTTGGTTACTTTTTTTGTTCCTCAAAAGATTTATTTAGAGTTCAAACACAAAAGAGAAATGTCATATCTATATTACAGTAAAATCTGTTCATGATATTATATATACGTGCAGAGTTTTGTGTTTAGATCTCATGACGTTTGATTGTATGAGATGTTTCCTTTCTGTCTCAGTGAAAATACTTTTTTGTTTTTGTTTTGTTTTGTTTTTTAGCAGGATCAGGGTTTAGCTCATCATCACGGCAGCTTTTTTTTTAATTCAGAATGAGTGAAAGCAAGAGCTTTTACTCATTCAGGTGGTTACTTTGATTTTCTTTGCCAAACGCCCAAGTCTTATTTTCTTTTTTTTTTGTTTTATTTTTTTTCTTTTTGCTTCTAATGTGTGACTTTGACCTTTTCTTTGTTTGCATCTTACATCTCTGGTGGACATTTAGTGCATGCATCGCTGGATAAAACAAGTGCCAGAGGAGGCAGCTTTAACAGAAACAATATATCATGAAATTATCTGGAGTTATTTGAGATTTAATCCAAGCATCGGGGCGTCTGAAGCAGCACGAAACAAGACAAACTAACAGTTGTCAGAACAAATGGGGCTGAGGTTAGGATGATAATTGGCTTGTGAGTCCACTGTGCCTTCGAGGTGTTGAGCCATATCGCCTTTCCCCMCCGACTCTACTGAACTAAAAACTTCCAACACAAACTTGATTGCTGCTGCATGAAATCTCTGCAGGTTTTATTTTTTATTTTTTTTATTTTTTTGCTTCAGTGGTGCTTTTTTAGTTTCCCGGGTTTTAATTCAGTGAAAAAAAAGAAGAAATTCTCGACTTGGCTGTTTCTGGTGCAGCTCTGCGACAAACAGGTTTACATTTATTCTGTCGCAAAAATGGATGCATTTTTTTTTTAAAAAACGCCTGAGTTTTGTACGAAAGTGACAATTTTCAGACGAGGAGGCACAAAAACGAGCTTCATCTTGTTCCACGTTCAAATGTTCTGTTTTCTAACCATGTTTTTCCCTCTCAGTTCTGTTTACTTGTGTTGCTGTTTAAACCAGCTGCCAACTATGTTTTGTGTGTGTGTGTGTGTGTGTTAATTTTTTTTATGTGTCCAGTCGGTCAAAGATCTCCCACTCACTTGCATGGCCTCGTTGTGGTTCACGTCATCAGAGACACCCGGTCAGCCTGCTCTCTGCTGAGGCCTCAAACTTCCTCTGTTCTCGCACCACACAACTTCTCACGCACACACACACACACACACACACACACACACACCCTCAAACTGTGATCTGACCGTTGGTGGAAGTGGATTATCAGTGCTGACAGACTAAACCATGATGCATATGTTTAGCTTTTGGTTCTATTGAGTTTAATAAAAAGTGTTTGATCAATAAAATCACTTTGTCTTTATGTGTTTTAAGTCTGGAACAGCATTATGGTGCACTTTGAGTCAGGACCTGCTTAATCCTAAATTTTACACCGTTTAATGAAAACAGGATGTTCCGTGTTTTATCRAACTTTTCGGAAACAAAACTTAAAGTAGACATATCCTGTTTTTAAATCTGTCTTTTTCACATTTAAATCCTTCAGTTGGGGTCTTTATAAAGTGGAGCTGCAATGCTTTGGTCTGAATTCCTCCTTATTGTAACTCCACAAGCCCCGCCCTTTTTCTGAGGTGTGTCGCAGATCAGCTCATTTTGAGGCTGTCTCTTTAAATCCAAACGAGGTGCTTCACACCCCGCTCCATCCAGCTTCCAGAGTGGTCTGTTCCAGATTATAGAGGGGTTTACGATTATATAGCTGCGCAGAAAGGTTTTACTTACAAATGAATCAACGTGAATCCATCCAGCCTGACGTGAGTCTGACCCAGAACCAGAGGAGAATGAAGACCACCAAATTGTAGTTCGTAAGTCCAGACCTTATTTAGAAGTTCTTTCACAAATACAGTGATGTAATGTGTTGAAAAATATGATCCAAACAGAATATAAAGATGTCTTTGCAGCACCGGGAGAGAATTTTCTGCACTTCTAGAGACTCAAAGTACACAAAATGTATTTCACAGCTAAAAAAATGGAATTTGATAGATTGTAAGACACAAACAGAACATCAAGTTTTCTGCATAAATGCACAGAATGCCTGAGGAGAGCACAGTTGGACAGTCAAATCACTTATAGACACTGATTCTCAGTACTACATAGTAATTTGCCATTTAGCACCATATTTTGCTCCGTGTGTTGCCTTCAGAAAACTCTCCATCATTCCTGTGTTTGGTTTTGAGAATCCCTGGTTTTTTTTCCTAACAGGTCACAAGCTGCCCTCTTGTGGTGCAGCTGCTGTCATGTTCCCTCGATTTTGTCTTCTTACAGCGGAGAATTTAAATTAATTAWTGAATTGTTAAAAAGTGATCCTTTAGGGAAATTAAACACTGGAAATGAGTGAAGTTAAATGGTGAAAATATGTTGTTTTAAATTGGGTGAGGCTTCTCTTGGCATCTCTTTGGACACCAGGTCTCTCCTGATCCAGTGGCAGGGTGTGTGCTGGGTTTAGGGGATTTAGCCTGGCCTCCCTTTATGTTTGCACCRGGGTCTGTGGTTCTTATACTCTATTTCCAGCTCCCTTTTTGTTTTGTTGTTCTTGTTTTTGTCCCTGTTTGACTCTGTGCCAGTCCACCCTTTTTTTTTTTGGCCTGAGTCTAATGCAGCCTCATGCCGTAAATTCTATCGTCTGCTGCACAGCAGGAAGAGCAGCACGGACCCTTCATGTTGTCTTATAAATCTGCCCTGAAACAACAAGGCAGAGCGACAACAAAACAAAACAAATATTCTGTAGAGCCGTCTTTTTTCAGCAGTTTGTCTCAAGTCTCTTCAGGTCCATCTCCAGGATCTTGGCCCGTCTAACCTCTGGAATCTTTGTTTATTATTCATAACCAAACTGATCCTTCAGGTTCGTGTCCAACWATTTTTAAATGAAACCAGAGTTTCTCAGTTAGATTAGGGTCTGGGTTTTGRCTGGACCATTACAGAACCTTTATGTAATCTCCTGAATGTTACGCAGGGGAGTTTGTTGGGAAAAAAAAACATTTACCAACATTTATAGTTGCTTTCATTAACTAAGATACGTGTCTTCTGACTGACCAAAAGGGTGCAGCATWTGAGAAAACAGACAAAGAAGAATAACAAAATGTGTTTAAATGAGTTTTATAAGATCTGTGTGGAACATTTTACAGACCAAAACCAACCAAAAAGTGTCATGATTCCACTTCTGTAGGTCTTTCCAAAAAACACATTTTATAATTAATGACTGACGTTTTACAGACATGAGCTTTTTGTTTTCCACCAAAATGTACTCAACAACATGTTTTATCATTTTATTGTAAACTGGGGGGGAGGGGGGACATTCAAACGTCAACATTTTCAACACATTCTGACCCTGTGCTCCGATCGTCTCCCTCTGCCAACACACAAGCTAAAAAAGAGTTTCAGCTGAACTTGGATCAGCGGGTCTTAAGTTGCAGCATGGTTTAGAGTTAAAGGTTTGACACTGGTCATCGCAGAAGAGATCACAGTGAGGGGTGGGGGGGCAGGACCCCTCTCAGATGAAACCCAGGGCTTCAGAGACGGTGGACAGAGGGGTTTAGGGGGCGGCGGTCGCTGCGTCCTCGGGACACTCRGCTGTGTTGACACAGACGAGGACACAGGTGAAACACTGCAACACTTTCAGGAACGACTGGTTTGGGGTGAGTGTGTGGGCGAGGGTGTCCTACCGTTCTTTGGCAGGATGACGCTGTTTTCAGGGAGGATGCCGTGGGTCTGAGAGAACTGAGAGAACTTCTGTTGCAGGTCGGCGCTGACCTCAGGACTGCGACCTGAAAGCAGAACACGAGCTCCGTTTAACCTCGGCCAAACTCAGCTTTTCAGCCTCAGGCCTGGTGGGGTAACTTACTGTACAGCTTGACGAGGACTTCGGACACCTCGTCCTTCGTCTTGATGGTGTAGTCCAGAGCGTAGCTGTCATACACGACGTCGACAATGCGCATGTCGTTGTCGTTGTTCCAAGCTGAGGAATGCAGAGGAATTGTAAATGGAAGCTGTGGTTCGTGTGCTTTTAGTGTGTGGTCTGCACTTACTGTGACTGTGGAAGGTGAAGCGTCCAGGAGTGTCTGTCTTCTTAGCCAGGTGAGTCATTCTCCAGCATGTGCCGTCAGTACTTTAAAGGGGAACAAAAACACACACTTTATCTTCCCAGGATTCACCCAGCTGGTGTTAATATCACGCATCATTGCAGATTTCAAACCTACTTCAGGGTGGCGTAAGACAGGTCCAGGTCTCCTCCTTCAGTTGGGGCAAACATGGCAGTTCCAACCTTCATGGATTCTTTGTGATCCACAAACCACTGAGCGTTGCTTGCAAAGCCAATCAGGTACCATTTACCTGCCATCTGAAAAACAAAAAAAATCAGAATCTTGTCTCTCTGTGATGAACTCGTCTCTGTGTTTCTCTCACCTTCTCCAGGTTGAAGTCCTGCATGGGCATGACATCTGCGCACACAGCCATCACGCACATCAGCGCGGCCATCATCCTCAGCACGGTGGTCCTCATGGCGTCGCCTCTTCGGAGCCTCTCTTTGCAGGGAGTGATCAGGAGTGTCAGGGGTATGCAGGGAGAAACGAGCCGCCGAGGCGTCTTTATATGCTTCTCCTGTCTCCTCCCACCTCCAGCCCCACCACTCTGCTGCCTGGCTTGGGCATTACAAAAACTATCTGGATCTTTCCCAGAGGAATGTTGTTACACAACAACTGGCACGTGTGGACGAAGACGAGTGAGGTGAGCGTGTTTTTTTGTTGTTTGTTTTTTTTTTTCACAAAAGCTGCTCCGAGACGACTGAAACGTGGTGTTTGGTAAGAGATCAGACGTCTGCACAAAAACACAAGTGAAACTCACCTCACTCATTCAACACTAGATGCTGTAAAATAAAAAAAAATGGCACCAGGCGTACCTTTGACTCAGTTTTACACTAAGCTACAATTTATGTGGTGATAGCTGAGAGTCATAAACAATCCGTACAATAAGGGTGACATTTTGTGATGTCCAAAATGATGCTGACCATTATTTATTCATTGCAAAAAATGTCCACCTTACCAAGTTTTTAAATCTTTTATCCAGCCAAAAAGTCTTTTTGATCTTGTTTTGAGACTGATTTACTAAACAAGAACTGGTTGTGTAAGAATAATCATCTTGTTTTCAGAATGTGTATGATTATTTGTCTTGTTAGTCTGAAAATTTGACTCTAATTAAGTCAAAAATTTTACTTGGTAAGATTCTTGAAATAAGAAAAAATTGAGTCGAATCAATTTTATTTCAAGAATCTTACCAAGTAAAATTTTTGACTTAATTAGAGTCAAATTTTCAGACTAACAAGACAAATAATCATACACATTCTGAAAACAAGATGATTATTCTTACACAACCAGTTCTTGTTTAGTAAATCAGTCTCAAAACAAGATCAAAAAGACTTTTTGGCTGGATATAAGATTTTAAAATTTGATAAGATGGACTTTTTTGCAGTGTAGTTGACCAAAACTTCTCATTTCTGACACAAGATTATCTTTTTTTAAAAGCTCTGATGTGTGTGTGTGTGTGTGTGGGGGCGGGGGTATCCACTTGGTTTTTGATTTTCAAAAAGTTAAAATGACTTTGAAGCCAAAAAAGGGAGAAAAACTTAATGAACTGTTTTAGTTCAGTCTGTCTTCAACTGATGGGAGCTCTTTAATAGTATCAATCACTGACTGAAAATTAGACGTGAATTCTTCATTTGCTGATTTTTGCTGAATCACACTTCCTTTTGTAACAACAGGCAGGCACAATCTTGCAACAAGCTGGTTATGTAACACACACACACACACACACACACACACACACACACTATACACAAAATACGTTTTAGAACCACATTTTATGAATCAACTCTCTGAACCCCGTTGGGGATTCAAAGCTGGACTTTATTATCTCCAGCCCCACTGTTTTTGTGTTCCCACTCGCATGCCACAAACATAAAGACACACACGCAAAAAGTTCAACCTCAGTTTTGCAAAGCATTTTGTTTTACCTCTAAATTCAGTGATTATCATCCGTGTGAGTGTGCATGAATGGATTTTAATGAAATCGCAAATATAATCTTTTATAAAATCCTTTTACAGATCCTATTTTACAAATATTGGGCTAAAATCTGATGTGGTCGTAGCTGAAAGTCAACTAGTGTTAAGTGTGACATCACACGTGATGCCATTTTCAAGGTGTGACCAGAACAGCCCCGAATTCTTCATCCTAAAATGACCTTAGTTTAAAAAATCTGGTATGTGATATTAGACCTTTAATTTATAGAAGTTTCACAAACAAACTTTAAAACAAGTTTCTTCGTCTTGCTTTATTTGTTTATAACGAGTCATATTCCAAGGAAAGTGTGCATTTTTAAGGCATGGGTTCAGTCTTGAATCGACTTTCTCGAGTGCGTGTCAGAGCTCCGCCTCCTCAGCATGTGGGGACACAGTCTGTAAAACAAGAAGTTGGACATAAAATTACACAGAACACATGCAGATGTTCTCAGCACGCAGTGAAGGATGGAAAACATGTTTACAGAGTTGTTTTTTAAAGGTTATTTCATAAGTTGAGTGGGCCAGATCCCAGCAAGCAGGAGCAATCTCAGGTGAATCTCTGAGTACACATTTAACATTTTCCTTACTGTGTAAACAAGGATTTTTAACTCCAGAAGATTTAAAGTTGAAGAGTTATACAAGAAATAAAGCAAAGACTTGTGCAGATCAAAGATTTGACTAATTGGATCATTTTATTTAGTTTCTTAATGTGGTGGTTTATCATTACAGCCAAAAGGTGCAAAAAAAATTGTCACAAAGCAGGGAAAGTTTTTGGATGATTGCAAAACTTTCCAGGAAGTTTTTTTTATATATAATTTGTCATGCGCTAACTTGAAGTTGTGTATTTAAAAGCTGCATTAAGCAGAACTGATGTCAGGTTTAGGCCTGTAAGACCAAAACAAACATTTTGAAAGCTGCTTGTTTCTATGGTTTACTCCAAATCAAAACACTGTTGCTCTGTGCAGAAATACTGCTGCTGTTTCAGATGCATGATCATAAAACATTTTACAACATCATCAAATTTAGAATCAAAACTGTAAAGAATTTGAAAATTAGGCTGACATATTTTGAAAAGAAAAGGTTTTAGAAATCATAAAAACTAAAGCTGAATTTATTTGGCCTCAATTAGAAATGAAAAAATTGATGAAAATAGTTTTAAATTAGCTTTTTGTTTTGCTACTTTCAGCTAAAATAGTTATTTTTAGCTTTTTTGAGCTTTTAGTCCTTTTCCAATTTTCTGCTTTTATTACAGATTCGTTACCAAATTTCAGTAAAGTCATTCAACATTCACACAATTTTTTAGCAAACCTGTAAGGAAATAAATGAAATAAAGCCCTCAGAAAATTCTGAAATCTGTAGACTATGTGCCTAAGTTATGTAAATATACCAAAAATATGCTGCCTGTAACGTCCGTTCACATAAATATTTAAAAACTAGAAATAAAATGCACAGAAATAAATTAAATAAAAGCTGTCTTTAAGCTTCAGTCTGGGTCCAGTTTGGTGAAAATCAGATGCTGGACTTTAATGTAATCATCTGTTCATTGAGACTAAACAATCAGCCAGACAATAGCACAGATACTACCGCTTTGATCACTCTTGTATTTTAAGGCTGCTCTGTGCGTAAATACACTCCCACTTTATTGGATACCGGCAAACGTACAAAGTAAACATTGAACAGGGATTTGAGTGAAAAGCCTTTCCAGATTCCAAGTGATCTTTTACACAAATAAAACACCTCATAGTTTATCTTTGTTCTGATTTGATTTGATTTGATTTGATTGTTTTCTTAATACAAGATGTTATAAAAACAAAAAACCCAATAAACTTACTGATTGTATGATCCTTGTCCACATCACCACAGTGACCTGGAAAGAAAAATAAATTAAAAACAATCAGCATTGTTTGTAATAAATTTCTGAAACTGTTGAACACTGTTGTTCAGTGTTATGCTGCAGCCCAGTAAACTAAGTCAGAAACCTAAATTGGGGGCTCGTCCGAGATGTTTTGAACTTTAATAGAGTCGAAACCTGTTTGGTTTTGCAGAGTAGGTTGAGAGTAATGCAGTGTGTGTTCCACTGTATTCATTACATCCTCATTAAATCCAGATATGTTCAAGCTGGTCTTTAAACTATGTTGTGAAAGAAGCAATCTGTTTTGTTGTTCTTTTCAGTTTTTGTGGTGGGTTTAGAGTTAGGAGTAGTTCTCATGTTGTTAAGGGAAGTGGGTAGACACCAGATCCTATGCGTGAAGTGAGTGGTTTCAATTTTCTTTGTTTATCTTTGTCTGCCTATCACTTTCCTATTAATGGTCCAACTTGTGCTGCTGTTTGAATGTTTTTTGGTGGTTGTTTGTTGTTTTGATTGGTTATACGGCACCTGAGTGCAGTGGTTGCTTTCAGCTTCTTTGTCAGATAACTGGTTGGTGTGGTAGATTTGAAATTTTGGTCTTTGTTTATTGAACACCATGCTTGTTTTCCCACTGCTACCTTGTTTTCTTTCATGGAATTGAACCAAACAAAGTGGACCAACGAGGGCCTTGGTTTGGTTTTGTTGGACTCTTGGAGGAACCCTACTGAGGACTCTTAGCTTCGATAACTACTATTTAAAAATCAAACTACTCAGCACTTAGTTGAATCTCCGTTCTATATCTCAGTGGGTTGTACAACAGTTTTAAAATGCTGTATAATTGTAATAAGTTTCATGTGTACGTACTGTAGGTAGGGAATGGGAAGAGGTAAGCCAGCCCCAAACTGTGTTTTTCAGCAAGTTGTTCAAACTTAGCCAAAACTGGCTCTGATAGGTCGTCCACGGACCTGCCTGCAAGGCATCATAAAAACATTTACGAGCATCACATTGGTGTTACAACACCACACTGAAAAAAATGCCCACCTAACCAAGTTTTAAAATCTTATATCAGCCAAAAAATCTTTTTGATCTTGTTTTGAGACTGAATTACTAAACAAGAACTGATTGTGTAAGAATAATAATCTTGTTTTCAGAATGTGTAAGATTATTTGTCTTGTTAGCCTGAAAATTTGACTAAAATTGTCAAAATTTCTACCAATGGATAAGATACTTGAAATACTTGATTTGACTCAATTTTTTTCTTTTTTCAAGAATCTTACCAAGTAAAATTTTCTTTCTCCGTTGGCAGAAAATTTTTGACTTAATTTGAGTCAAATTTTCAGACTAACAAGACAAATAATCTTACACATTCTGAAAAGAAGATTATTTTTCATACACAATCAGTTCTTGTTTAGTAAATCTGTCTTAAAACAAGATCAAAAAGACTTTTTGGCTGGATATAAGATTTTAAAACTTGGTTAGGTGGACATTTTTTGCAGTGCCTTAACTTGTTAGAAACACACACAGCTGGTGAACCTACTATAGAGCTTGACTGTGACCTTCCCCTGTTTCTGGTAGAACAAGACTGCGTAGGAGGTGTAGTCTGTTTCTCCAATCACAATGTCCGTGTTGAGCTCAGGACGGGCTCCTGGTGGGAAAACAAAAACAAGCACAGTGTGTAAAGCTGCTGTACATCATAGTTTATTATGCTGAGGGAAATTAACTGACCTTTAAGTAACAGTTTCCCTGGGGTTGAAGTTAAATGGTAAACCTGCAAAATCTCCCAGCACTGATGATTTCTGAGGAGAAAATGGGGTTTATTCGACAGCCCTAAAATCGAACCAAGTATTTTATCAAGAACACGACTTTTGCCTTTTAAAGAATTTTTTTATTCTTTTGCAAAAGAACTTCAAAATATGATGCATCCTCCTTTATTCTGTTTATCCTGTGATGTTTGAGCCCGAAAGTACTGGGGAGTTATTTAAGACGTACATTCTTTGTGTGTAGTTATGGTAGTACTCACTGTCGTGTTTTAGTACTAACAGACAGGGTTTGGTCAGAGGCCTCGTGGCGTGTGAGCATCATGACAGTTGGCTCCACGCTGGTTCCATGTTTTATCAGGTAGGAGCACTTGGAGGCCGTGTTAAGGAGGAACCATGTTCCCATCATCTGATCAGGGGAATAGAAGAAGAGGAAACATGTTGGTTTCACATATACAGAGATACATTCGGGTTGTGTAGAAAACTCTGAGAAGTGTTTTTGAATAACCACAGAAAAGAGAGCCCGATTCAGTCCTGTGCTGCTGGGTTTATTTTACAACAGGATGATGGTTAGGTGTTAAAAATAGAAAAAAATATCCAAGAAGGATAAAGCTGGTTGGTTTGCACAGACTTTAAAGATATGGTTTGTATTATTTTTGGATAAAACAGTTTAATTCTGAGCGGATTGATGAGCTTATGGCTTTCCAGAGCAAAGCCAAGACTGGAACTGTTTTAAAATCTTTAAGATTAAAGTCATTTTAGGATGACCGAAATTCCCTTTGGTGCTGAGTCTGCAAACAAAATGAGCATAATGGAAATTAGCCTGGTAAAAACTGCTTTGCTTCATACAAAGGGTCCGTACTCTCTGCTATTGAGAAGTGATTTCTTGCTGGAGGTATGGACTCTGAAGTTCAAAACACTTGGATCTGATTTATCCAATCGCTAACGTTTGCCTGTAATGTATGCAGTGTTCCAGCTCGACAGTGAAGCTAAGCTAAGAAGCTAACCGGAAACTGTGTTCTAAACAATTATTCCCTACTGGGAAAAAGAGAAGTACCGAGTGGTTGTAAATGAGAGCTGCGGGTTTTGTGAGACAACTTTAGATTCATTTGGAAGCCTTGTCAACACGGACTGGCTTCATTCACTTCCTCCGCTGCCGTTGCTAAACTACAGGCAGACTAAAACGACACAGAAAATTAATGTCATCATTCAAAACTCCTCCTCCTTTGAAATTCTACCAGAAAAATCCTTGTCTGTGGGAGAAATCCCAAACGGAGCAGAGCTGGGAAACTGTTGAGCGAAACTGTGTAGGAAGGCAAGGGTCAGGCTGAATAGAAATAATTTATATAAATCAGGGGTGCCCAAACATTTTCCTTTAGTGGGCCAAAATGAAAATCTATCGGGGGCTGCGGGCCAAATGCAGTAATACAGTATATGAAATACAAATACTTTTTAAAGTAAAGTCCTTTATTTTTAAAGATTAAGCAATGGCCCTCTTTTGTTTTATTCTGTGAACTTGGACAAAGTCTGCCAGTGTGCAAATCTACATGTGGGGTTAAATCTGATCTAAATATTTCTTGTTGTCATTTCATGTTTCATGTTCAATCCTAATAAATCAAAGATAAAGTCAGCACCATGAATGAAAACTACCTTCACTACAGCCCTTTTATATAGTCATTTGACCAATGGAAATACTGTGTTTCTACATAGGCTAACAGGTTACAACCTTGTAACTTTGGCAACTGTTGGTGGGCCGAATCAAATGGCTTGGCAGGCCAAATTTGGCCCGTGGGCCCCACTTTGGGCTCCTCTGATATAAATTAAAGCTGCTTTGTTGGTTTAAAAATAATTTCCAAACTAATATTGTCAACTTTGGGAGAAGATACCAGTCTAAAAGCCGAATAGCTATTAGCAGCAGCTATATTACATAGTAACCCAAATTATAATCTAAAAATCCATGTTTTTGGGTTGTTCTTTTTAACATAAACTAGCTCTAATTCAACAAACTGCTCATGTCAACAAAAGATCAGTGAGTAACGAACTTTAACCCTGTTTGCTGACCCAGTGAGCTTGACTCGGTCCAAATTTGGCCCAAAGTTTGGTTTCAAGCTGGATTGTTTTGCATCCTGCAGTTTTTAGTTTGTAATAAAAGATCTTAAAATCACAACTTTCTTGAAGTTTCCAAGAACATAAACAAAAAGCACTAATCTGTTCTCGATGTTGTTTTCTGTTTTCTTTTCACCTACTCTGCCTGTTTACTTAAAAAAAATCCAGGATTGCTTAATCCCAGTATTGACACAGTTTCACAAGCACATTGACAGCCATGATAATAGTTCGTAACAAAACAACTGACTGAATGATGGAAAGCTTCAGGACAGTTTCTGGTTTAAAGGTTTTCTAAAAGACAAGAGCAAAACCAAAACAAATTGGAGCAATRCTCCTGGGTCAGTGAAACAGTCGTTCCATTCTTACTGTCTCTTATAGGACAATAAAAATAACTTTTGGATGATCAAATGATCAATTTTTGTTCAATTTAAAACTTTGTTGGCAATTTAACTGTGTTTTAAGAAACTGTGCTTAAGTCAAGTTAAAAACTAAATCCCTCTCAGTACGAGGTGTAAAAGTCCACTTAAGTGTTTGCTGTGGTGCATCTGCTTCTAGGATTAAAGTTTTTTTTTAATTAAAGCTCCTTGTTCCAGAGCTGCTTCTTTGTGTCTTTAAAAAACTGCTCACTTTGTGCAAAAGCTATTTATCTCTATAAACTTGTACTTGTTTACTTTTAGAAAAGGAAATATACTCAAATGAAGCACCAGAAGGTTTCTAACAATTTTCATATTTATTTTTTATTTCATAAAATCTGCAGAAACCATCGTAGCGTGAGGCGAGACTGAAAGTTGGTTCATCTGTAGACTTGCAGGCTGCGAGGAAGTTTCTGCACACGCAAATTATTTTTAAATCAACCTGAAAATTGTCATCATTTTATAGGATAACAAACTTGTTTGTTGAGACCCAAAATGTTTTTTAAATGCATCATGCACCGAGCTTTTTTAAAGCTTATGTCGTCTTTAAAAGATTCAACACAGTTCATGAAATGTGTCGAAATATGATTTAAGTTATTTACAGATTATTTTGTTTTTTGTTTCCACGCGTCTGACTCCTGCTCCAGTCTCTCACCTGTTGTATGTCTATATTCTGAGCAGGCGGGGTGGAGTCCACGGGGTCGACCTTAGGCTTCTTCGGAGGTCGTTTCTGAGGTTTTGGTCGACTCTTGGCCCCTCCCACAGCCTCGGATGGAACCCAGAGACACAAGCAGAGCAGCAGCACTGCCAGCACGCACCGACATGCTCCGGCCATCCTAACACTGTTAGATCACACTCTCTTTTTTTTACTAACTATTATTTTTATTTAATTCTCCCTCTTTTCTCGTCTCTCTGGTCTCTGTCTTGTTTCGCTGTCTGTTATTTCTCCTCTGCTGCACTCAGTCACCTGTTCAGTCCCAGAGGATGTGCAGTCACTGTAACAGAGGACGGTCCATTCAGTTAAACATTAATGTGGTTTGCTGGGGACTGAAGGGCCATGTTGGGGGTCTTCTGAGCAACAGGGGGCAGTAATAACTTCTGTTTAAACATTGCTTTAATATTAACTATAAGAGGCAGAAGTACAAAAAAATGATGAAGACTTGCCCATTTAGTTTTATTCGCTTCAAAGTTAGGAAATGTGTTCTGATTTCAATAAAGCAGGGGTGGTTCTAGGGGCGGGGCCACAGGGGCATCGGCCCCAGCTGAACTATGAGTGCCCCCTGAAGTGCCCCTGTCCTGTCTCATCTGTTCTTTGCCTGAGATTGGTGATGGTGTGTGCAGTTTCATGTCCAAACACTAGTGGCGCTAATGAGTCAAATAGGAAAATCCAGCATGAATCAATCTCACAGGATTCTTCTCTTCTTAAGAATATCTGAACAATCCTGCAGAAAAAGTCTTTCATCTGACAAACGATGGCTGCATTTTCTTCTATGCTTTGTGTTTGAGAGCATTTTATCTATGTCCATTAAACATACATGTAAAATTGCTGAGAATAATTTACTGTTCAAGCTTTTTTTTATTACATTAGTGTTTGAATGTATGACTGGTAAAATTTATACACCTTACTAAAACCAGGGATTTAAATGCAAGGATGCTGAACAAATACTTGGCCCCTCTATGAATATTGTGGCCCCTTACTCAGAAAAATCCTAGATCCGTCACTGCAATAAAGAGTCTCTTCACCTCAGCACGTACATCGCGTAAAATAAGTATTGAACACGTCAACATTTTTCTCAGTAAATATATTACTAGAGGTGTTAATGACATGAAATTTTCACCAGATGTTGGTAACAACCCAAGTGATCCATACATACAAAGAAATCAAACCATAAATGTCCAGAAATGAATTTATTTGTAATAATGTGGAATGGCACAGGGAAAAAGTATTGAACACACTTACTGAAATTTATCTAATACTTTGTACAAAAGCCTTTGTTGTCAATGACAGCTTCAAGACGCCTCCTGTATGGAGAAACTAGTGGCATGCATTGCTCAGGTGTGATTTTGGCCCATTCTTCCACACAAACAGTCTTCAAATCTTGAAGGTTTCGTGGACCTCTTCTATGAACTCTGATCTTTAGTTCTTTCCATAGATTTTCTGTTGGATTCAGGTCAGGTGATTGGCTGGGCCATTCCAGCAGCTTTAGTTTCTTTCTCTGAAACCAACTGAGAGTTTCCTTGGCTTTGTGTTTGGGCTCATTGTCTTGCTGAAATGTCCAGCCACGTTTCATCTTCATCATCCTGGTAGATGGAAGCAGATTTTTATCAATAATGTCTCTGTACATTTTTCCACTCATCCTTCCTTCAATTATTTGAAGTTTGCCAGTACCATATGCTGAAAAACAGCCCCACACCATGATGTTCCCACCTCCAAACTTCACTGTTGGTATGGTGTTTTTGGGCTGATGTGCAGTGCCATTTGACCTCCAAACATGATGTGTATTCTGGCATCCAAACAGTTCAATGTTGGTCTCATCTGACCAGACTATATTCTCCCAGTATTACACAGGCTTGTYTAAATGTTGTGCAGCAAACTTTAAAGGAGCTTCAACATGCTGTTTCTTCAGCAGTGGAGTCTTGCGTGGTGAGCGTGCATACAGGCCATGGTGGTTCAGTGCATTACTTATTGTTTTCTTTGAAACAAACCTACCTGCTAATTCCAGGTCTTTCTGAAGCTCTCCACAAGTGGTCCTTGGCTCTTGGACAACTCTTCTGAAAATTCTTTTCACTCCTCTGTCAGAAATCTTGTGAGGAGCACCTGGTCGTGGTCGGTTTATGGTGAAATAATGTTCTTTCCACTTCTGAATTATGGCCCCAACAGTGCTCACTGGAACCTTCAGAAGTTTAGACATTCTTCTGTAACCGATGCCATCATTATGCTTTGCAACAATAAGGTTGTGAAGGTCTTGAGAGAGCTCTTTACTTTTACCCATCATCAGATGGTTCTTGTGTGATACCTGGCCATCATTTGGAACCAGTTGATATTAACTTGCACTGACAAGGGACAGGCTTGTTTTCTAATTACTGAGAGAGTTCAGCTGGTGTCTTGGCTTTCCATGCCTTTTTACACCTCCTTTCTTCATGTGTTCAATACTTTTTCCCTGTGCCATTCCACATTATTACAAATAACTTAATTTCTGGACATTTATGGTTTGATTTCTTTATATGTATGGATCACTTGGGTTGTTACCGACATCTGGTGAGAATTTCATGTCATTAGCACCAAAAATAAATATATTACTAGAGTAATATATTTACTGAGAAAAATGTTGACGTGTTCAATACTTATCTTACCCGCTGTAGCTGTAGATGTTCTGACATGCGGTTTGGTCCTGACAGGTTTGGTACAACTGCTGCTGCGCAAACAGTCACAGTTTGTCTTCAGTGATGAATTCACCAGAAAAATCACAAGAGTGGGATTTTGGGGGGGTTCACGGGTTTTCAGCTTCATCTCATGTTTTAATCTCACTACACCCCTAATCTACAGAATAACAGGAAATTGGAAGTAGTGGAAGCTGTTGCTCCTCCACATTGAGAGGAGCCAGTTGATGTGGTTCATCTGGTAAGGAGGCCTCCTGGACGCTTCAGGCATATCCAACTGGGAGGAGACTCTGAGGAAAACCCTGGACACGCTGGAGAGACTATGTCTCTTATCTCCCAGAAGAGCTGGAAGAAGTGGCTGGGGAAAGAGAGGTCAGGGCTTCCCTGCTCAAACTGCTGCCCCCACGACCCGACTTTGGATAAAGTGGAAGATAATGGATGGATAGTCATGAAAAGGCATTTTTATATTTTACAGAGAAAAAAAAGTTTATTCAATAAAGCATTAAGAAAAAAACAAGGCAGTAACTCAAATAAGTCCCTCTGAATGTGGTTCCTTCTGAAATTGCAGCCCTGAAACTTTTATCTTGTGTTTTTACCAAGTGATTCATTTCCGATGATGATGATGATGATGATGATGCAGGAAGCCCACCATTTACACGAATCCTCTCATTTACAAACAGGTTCAGGTTCAGGTGTGAAATAAGAGTTCTGGTGTAAAAGTTAAAACCGAACGCTGAAGAAAGTTCGTCATTGCTTCTCCTCCTTGTCCTGTTTGCCGTTTCCTCTGGGCTGAAACTTCAGAGCTGCGCTGTTGATACAGAACCGCTGACCCGTGGGGTCCGGTCCATCGTCAAACACGTGGCCAAGGTGAGCATCGCACTGTGGGACAAAACATATCGAAAAGTCAGATCCCTTCTGATCATGTTTATTTTTTTTAAGTAAGCGATAAATTATGGCAAAAGCATAAAAACATACGAAAAAAAGTCTACACGGGAAATGTGGCAGTGTCAAATTAACACTACTAATGTTGATTTAAAGTGCCTGTGACATCAAATTTTTGTAATAAACATGAACGCATTTTTGGAAAGATAACATTGATAACATTTTGCAAAACAAATTTCACGTCGCTGAGATGAACGGTTGTTGAGATATTTGCATGTGAAGAAACAGGAAGTGATGTCAAAGGGGAATGTCTGCATGTAAACAGAGCGTTGTTACAAAAGCTAACAACACAGACTGTAGAGAAGAATCTGATGTTTCTTTAGATTATTTTTTGTCGCTATCAAAGAGAGACGAAGAAGAGTTAATGTTTAAATAATTTTGTTTTAATAAACAGTGACCAGCTAGTTTATTTTATTAATGAGTTCACCTTTGATGTCATTTCCTGTTTCACTTTGGCTGAGCCAAATTTAACAGAAAATAGGCCAGTTATGTGACAAAATGGGTCAAATCATGTGTATTATGCCAATTTTCTTAAGTATAAAGATGCTTTCTTTGATATTTTTTTTGTATTTGAAGGATAGACATGTCACAGGCACTTTGTATACAGAATAGAATAGAATAGAATAGAATAGAATAGAATAGAATAGAATAGAATAGAATAGAATAGAATAGAATAGAATAGAATAGAATAGAATAGAATAGAATAGAATGTTTAAAAAAGTTTAATCTGTTAAAATAAACAAGTTGCTGTTGTTTCATGTGTAAATCGCATTTTTGGGGTTGCATAAATTAAACTTTTGTTTAACTGCTGAAACAACAGCTCACGTTTTTACAAAGGACCTCTGTCCCTGCGCTCCCCAGGCTGTTGTCGGGGCGACGAATGATGGAGGCGTGGCTTTCATCTCGCTCCCATGTCCCATGAGCCTCTTTGAACGCCGGCCAGCCCGTCCCCGAGTCATACTTTGCTTCTGAACTATGAAGAGAAGTGGCAAAACTCTTCAGAATAAGCCTTTTTTTTTTTCTTTAAGGAAACATCTGCATAGCTTGAACACGTCACCTGAAGAGAGGAACGTCGCAGCACACACAGTGGTACATCCCAACCTCAAAATGATTCAGGTAGATCCCACTGAAAGGCTGAAAACAACCACAGACACACATATAAGCTTTTAATCTTTCACTTTAGAACACATTTATGAGAACTCACTAATTGCAAACGCTGCAAAAAAAAAACAGTTTTCTGTAAAATATCTGCATTGCCTGAAAACTTGGGAGTTTGTTAGTGCATTATAATCACTCGTTCAACTTCTCCTTATCTTTGCTGATGTTTCCCTGCAACACTTTCGTCAACATCTTAGAGGTGTAAAGGTGAGCTGAAGCCGGCGCAGATCGAAGTTCACATGTGGGTCCTGCAAGTTCAAGACAAGCTAACACATGACCCGACTCACCTCCTCGGTTCCTTTCTCTCTGGTGGCCACATACTGTTCTGGAGTCAGCTTCTTGTGCCAGTCTGTGGTTTTACTGTAGCGTGTGAGAGACTGCAGGCCTGCACAAACCAGAGGTCACACATGTCAAYAACGCAAACAGGTTCTGTATCGGTTCTTCTCAGTGCACTCACAAAAACTTCCATATTTTTAGATGCACATAGAACCCTGCTGTCCGTTTTTAAAGCAATAATTTTACCTGATGTTACGAAAACAGTGTTATGGCCATTTTTTGTGTTAGCTGATGTGCATTAGCTGTGGCAGCCACCTTGAATTCAACTGACTCCAAACATTAATCAGCTATAGATGCATCTTCAGTCATTAGTTTCTGAGAGTTTCATTATAATCTGACCAGTGTTTCTTGTGATATTTTGCTAACAGACAAGCAAGCAAGGATGTCTCCAACAGTTATTGCTTATGTTTTAGGCCAAAATCTTGCACAATAATTGGCACTTAGTTTAGGTGATGAGAATGATTTTGGGTCATAATCATCCCAAATTTCAGCACAAAATATTGATAACATTTACAGAACTTTAGCATTTTTGTGTTTGCTAATGTCAGTTGGCTGYGGTGTTCATCTTAAATTGGGTTTATTCCCAAAGTTAATCAGTTGTAGATGCATATCCTTTGAATATTTTCTGAAAGTTATATTACAATATGCCCAGTGGTTCATAAGCTATTTTGCTAACAGACAAATAAAGTTGGCTATTGCAGAAATAATGGCAAAATATGAAAAAAGACCTTGCACAAGTTATATGTCCTCAAAATATGTGCTGAGGATCACTCTCAGCTACTACCACACCTTATTTAAGTTCTCTATCTGTAAAACTGACTGAGTTATAGCCTTATTTGTGGTTTTTTAGAACAGCTGACTGTAGCTGCCATCTTGAATCGCATTGACTCCAAAATGTAATCAGCTGTAGATGTGCATCCAATGAGTACTTTCTGTAAGTTTCATTAAAATCCATCCAGTGGCTCATGAGATATTTTGCTAACAGACAGACACAGGAACGCACGCACGCGGACGCGGGTGAAACATTCTTGTCCGCGCCGTCACTGGGTSGCAGCAGTGAAGTCACTTAGATTCAAGAGGAAACAGGTGCGGTCAGGAGATTACCTCACAAATATGGTCTCTAATCCGGTGTTACCTGCAGTTGTGGATAAGGTTCGGATCCTCCTCGGAACCACCGTGGACCGGACTCCAGTGTTGTGGGAAACAACAAAGACGAAGCGACGGACGAACCGGGACATGTTTGCTCCTGAAGCGCGTCCGGATGAGTGCGGGACAAATAAGGGCCGAGCCGAGCCGAGCCGAGCAGAGCCGAAAAGAACCGAGGTTAGCGGGTTCGCGTTGGTCCTCCGGGTCAAAAACCACACATCTACTGAAATGGGTCAAAGGGTGAGACCGTGTTTTTATTGCTGGGAAATGACTAGAGTTCAACTTGTCATCAGATTTCTGCCTTTCTGCCCAATGCTTCAGAAAACTGACACGAGGACGTTTTAAATC